GGAGGGGTTCAAACATTTTTCCATATGTATACAATCCTATACACACACATTATATATATATATATATATATATATATATATATATATATATATATATATATATATATATATATATATATATATATATATATATATATATATATATATGGGTTTCGGGGAGGGGGTTATAACCCCCCTCCCCCACCAACCCCCCATTGCCTACGCCATTGTTTAGAGCAGAGTCCATACACAAACTCAACGTAGACCAGGGCTTCTCAATATGGTGTACCGGACCCCTACCTACTGCTGACTACAAGTAGCCGTGGACCGACAAATTCAGTATCTCCAACCGCAAGCCGACACCCAGGGGGTAGGCCTAGTTAACGCCATACAACAGGAGATCCTTGTTGTATGGTTCTTCAACACCCAAGCCTAACACTAACCCAAACCCTCATGATATCACCAATGGTAATATGTGGGTACGGCTAATCGATAACCCTAAAATAAACATAAACCAGGGTACTACGAGAACAAGTTTTGTAGTACCAATGGCCTCGACTGTGACAAAACATGAGCACACACAGCTTCCCCCCCCCCCCCCCCCCCACCCTCCCTGCCATCTGTTTCCAGGGTGTCAGAATACATTCTCGAGTGCCACCTACACTACGTGTAGGCACTTTTACAACAACGGTTCTCAAGACGGCAGAAACAACACCAAAACACTTGAAACATTTTGTAATCTGTCCATGGACCTCCTACTCGATTAATGGGAAACGAATTTAAGGACAAAGAGCATAAGCTGATTATTTATTGTAAGAAAGGATACACAATTTCAGACCACTATTCTTTTATAAATAAACTTGGGTAAGATTTTTCTTCTTCGTTCTTAATTGTAATGTTGAATGGGATTTCATCCAACACAATTAAGTAGTAAATGACAACATGTATGGCCCGTTGACTTCGATTTGCGCTTGCCGTTTTTCTCGATTTGCTTCTATAGCCTTGTGTCCACCCAAGAACAATCAATAGGGTAGCAGTTGTTCCATTTTGGAGTTTTCTCTCCTAGATGTAGCTTTCTCTGCCCGGGATTCGAACTAGGGACTAATGGAGTGAGCAGTTTCAGGCAGGCTCTAACCCTGTCACTTACCCTATCCCTGGTCTTAAACCTCACCATTCCCACAGCTGACCAGCACATATTGAGGCCTATACTGTCAAACAATTTGACCAAGTAGACATAGAAGAATAAAATCATGGTTCGGCATTACAAGTTCACCCAAAGTGTGGCTAAGGAACGATAATCCCCCCTTTTCCACAAACTCCTTTCTTATGAAAAAAAACCAACAACTCATAAACCACCATACATGCTATGTGACATTAGGCTATGTGGGTTAGAAATTATAAAACTGTCTGACTACTACACTGTTGTTATGGCCTTATCTATCTCTCTGTTGAAGCCCCAGCACTCAACTGATAACACCATGTTTTCAGCCCTCGGAAATACAGATTATGGTTGTTCAACATGATTTCGGCTAATAATGAGGGGGGGGGGGGAGGGGGTGGACGACGCCACCATTTTATGCACTTAATAATTATTTTCACGGCGGGAGTGGGGAAGTAGTAGGAGGGGAAATATTAATAATTTTTCTGACGGGGTGGGAGCATACATTGTCTACAATAACTTTTCAGACGAAGACCTTCCGTCGGAGCGTCCCGAAGTGTTGAAAAGCTGATTTAAGCACGCATCCATGAAATTTGCAAATGATTCCAATACCTGAGTGTTGGTAATAATTCGTTTCTTAATGATTAGTCTCAGCCCACGTATTATTTAAAGCTGGTAACGTCAACAACGATAAACTCTAAGAATGTATTTTTAGGTTTATAGTTGTATCTGTACGAATATGAGGGAAGGAATGGATAGTCCATAAGCCAACTTAAGAATCTGCCAATTTAAGTTTAAGATATCTCAAGATATTTTCAACATCTGCATGCAGTTTTGACACCTTCTGTTGCTGAAGAACGAAAATTGGAGAACGGGTGGGGTATGAGGGGGGGGGGGGAGGGGGGTGTAAAAAAACAAGCATACAACATTTATAGGCTGATGTAAGGATATGGGAATTATAAAAGTGCCATCCAGGACATGTCAAAGGAAGAAACAATTTTTTTAAAAACTAACATAACAAAGACAAATATATATATATTTAAAAAAAAAGAACAACAACCTCGTACGCTACTTGTTCAGTCTAGCCGGATAGCATTTCATGGACTTGAAGCAGCATACGTTGTTGCTGTACATGCAGACACACCGACCGGCGGTTAAGTGACGGGGGAGGGGGGTGACACGGCAGCGGAGAACTGCCACGAGTGAATTACTGGCGGCTTGACACTTGATTTGAATAAGTGCCGAGCATATGAGGGGACAATTCCGCTCCGAGTGACACCTTTATTAGGATGCTGGCCGAATCTGCCATGGCTTGCTCGACACAAAGGCAAACACAATTATCCGTAATTATATGTGCAGTCATCGCGCCGTGCACTCGGGGTATGGGGAGGATGCAGATATAGCACTGACGTCATTAATTCAGTAACTGTCTATTAAGTATTGATTTAAACATCGTACTTGAGGTTGTAACAGCTAGGGATACCCCAATGGACGTCGACGCATTATTCTACGAACCATTGCGTCTTTTAACAGTTAGGGACCGTGTATTGCAAAAGGGGTTAGGGAGTAAAATGAAAAGCACCCTTTTGTATCTAACGGTCCAGAGTATGGATTAGGCAGAGCTTGTGTTGCTATGACTGGAATCAGGTGTAGGGGCTATGGGACGTCTAGTGGATTGGTAGTGTGGACTATGGGACGTCTAATGGGGTTGTGTGGACTACGGGACGTCTAATGAATTGGTTGTGTGGACTATGAGACGTCCTAATGGGTTGCTTGTGTGGACTATGGGACGTCTAATGGGGTTGTGTGGACTATGAGAAGTCCTAATGGATTGCTTGTGTGGACTATGGGACGTCTAATGAATTGGTTGTGTGGACTATGTGACGTCTAATGGGGTTGTGTGGACAATGGGACGTCTAATGGATTAGTTTTGTGAACAAAGGGACGTCTAATGAATTGGTTGTGTGGACTATGAGACGTCCTAATGGATTGGTAGTGTGGACTATGGGACGTCTAATGAATTGCTTGTGTGGACTATGAGACGTCCTAATGGATTGGTAGTGTGGACTATGGGACGTCTAATGAATTGCTTGTGTGGACTATGAGACGTCCTAATGGATTGGTAGTGTGGACTATGGGACGTCTAATGAATTGGTTGTGTGGACTATGGGACGTCTAACGAATTGGTTGTGTGGACTATGGGACGTCTAATGGGGTTGTGTGGACTATGAGACGTCCTAATGGATTGGTTGTGTGGACTATGGGACGTCTAATGAATTGGTTGTGTAGACTATGTGACGTCTAATGGGGTTGTGTGGACAATGGGACGTCTAATGGATTAGTTTTGTGAACAAAGGGACGTCTAATGAATTGGTTGTGTGGACTATGGGAGGTCTAATAGATTGTGTGGACTATGGGACATCTAGTGGATTGGTTGTGTGGACTATGGGACGTCTAATGAATTGGTTGTATGGACTATGGGACGTCTAATTAATTGGTTGTGTAGACTATGGGGCATTTAAACAGAAGTGCCCTTAAACATTTTTAAAAAAGATTGATGTTCTCATATTTTGTTCTCCACACAAAACATATTCTTTCTAATAGCTTCAAATGGAAAAATTAATGTACACAATAAAGACGAAACATAGATGGTACTACATTATACATAGGTTTTTAATTTGATGTCTAACCTATCAATACTCTTCTATAAATCAGCAGTAAGTTTAAAAGTATTATAATATACGAACCACTAAAATGTTAATTCCTATTAGTAGCTAATGAAAGCATTTTATAACATGCTACTTTTTCTTGATCACTTTTATGAAGCATATATGCCTATTTATTTATGATATGTTTTGTAATTATAAAAAACGCCTGCTGCTATATTACACATCCCACATATAGGCCACTAATAGGACTATAACTTTAGTTTGCGATAGGCCTAGTTACCTCACTGTCAATGTTATTTGTTAAAAACAATGATTACGCCCTACAGGTTCAATATATGTCAAATTTCAATGTACAGTCTATTCAACGTATTAGACCTAAAATAATAATCACTTTATTTTTTAAAAGTATATTACAATAATAATTAATATGAATAGAATCAATATAATATGTATAGTATAAAGTATAAAGCTATGTAAGCAGGCTAGGCATATACAACGATGTAAGTAACAAAAAATATCTTGGAATTTCTAAAGTACATGCTATCCCAATACAATGGTTAAGCACCGTTGTCCAAACAAAAAATTATACAAACAATAACCGAGGCCAAGGCGATGGTAATTTTAGGTAACCTGAAACGAGGTCACACACACATAAAAAAAAACATCCCTCCCCCCACCCGTTTCGTCACGTGACCTTTCTAATAGTATAGCATAGTCTTGCTTGGCATTCCAGGTCAGGTTGAAATGGTGAGGCATGCTAGCCGAAACAATCTAATAATAGGGCCTACTACTAGATCTAGTGGCGATTGGCGGAATTCCCAAGAATTGATTCAAAATTGCGTACCCCCATGCGTCGAAGTAAGAGCCTTAATGCAAGTTTAACGAGCCTTAACGGTCATGCTTAGCGGTTAGCGCCTACCCCCTTGGCCAACATGGCCGTCGGCGAATCTTTTGAAGTTAGTGTGCTGTCCACTCTGGAACCGTTAGCGCGGCGGGACCCGTTTCCCGTACACCACCATCCTATTATTATAAATATATTCCGACCGGCCGAGGTTAAATTACTTAAAATAATCCTGCAACATATTTTTGTGTGGACACAGCACACAGGAAATATTGAATTATCTTTAGACAAGTATGTATGCGAAAGCGAAGTCGCAATAAAAGGCGATAGCAACAAAACAGAATGGCCTTACCGTTACTGAGTGATAAAATCCATGTAACACACACGAGAGTACAGGTAACAGAGTCCCGTCCCATCCCTTCTGTCTTTAGGTACAATCTTCGTAAACCGTCGAATTAAACACATTCATAAGGTCCATCCTTATAATAAACTCGACACTGAAACTTTACAACATCGGAAACAACACTAAAGCCCCTTAGGACTGCAACAATATATGCCTACTTCCAACAGTAAAGTAGGCCGACAAAACATAACACAGGCCTAGAAAAAAGTAATGGTAATAGAAGATCGTAGCGCACTATATTTCAGAATGGAATTACTCCGCGCGGGTTATACTGTAAAGAAAATATACATTCTAAATGTAATTAGATGAATCAAAGATAATGATACACATTTTTGTTTCACGTGGTTATTAGATATTTTACTTTTTCGTTTTTAAAACTGTATTCGATAGGAATATGGTATGTTTAGTTGGGGACTAATTTTTTAGACGGAAGACCATTTCATTGTATCACAAAGCGTCATGAATAGTGAGATAGTGGGCCTGGTGTTTAAAAAGAAAAATACTTATTTTCAAAGATTTTTTTTAAAGCTTAACGTTTTAGCTATATTAACACTTTTAAAATAAAACATTATAAAAGATACACATTAAAAAATAGCATAACATATGAAACTTATTTAAAATGAACAAAATACTTTTATTTTTTATTTTTGATCTAACGATCATTGCTAACAGAGTAACAGCGCCACATAAAAGTAAAAAGAGACTTTAAATTGATTTGAACATTGTCTTTAATTTAATTTTTTTGTAGCTCTTGTCAAGATACGGAGTATAAAATAGTCCAAATGTTGTAAGGGTTTGACGTCGAATATTTCAGTGATTAATTTTTAAATATATTGTAGTGAATTTGTTGTTATATGGTCCTGTATAAAACACGATTTTGAAGCTACATATACAGTGATGATACAGCAAAGATTGCTTGCCAGCGGCCCACCCCCACCCTAACCAGACCACTAAACTCGAGCACACATTGATAAAACTGAATGTTATGCGTGAGCTAACCCTCCAGTCTTCATAGAGTAGCATTGCAGACTTCGTGATGTAGGGATATGTCACAAAATGGACACGTGACGTAGGGATATGACACAACATAGACACGTGACGTAGGGATATGACACAACATAGACACGTGATGTAGGGATATGACACAACATAGACACGTGACGTAGGGATATGACACAACATAGACACGTGATGTAGGGATATGACACAACATAGACACGTGACGTAGGGATATGACACAACATAGACACGTGATGTAGGGATATGTCACAAAATGGACACGTGACTTAGGGATATGGCACAACATAGACACGTGACGTAGGGATATGACACAACATAGACACGTGACGTAGGGATATATGGCACAACATAGACACGTGACGTAGGGATATGACACAACATAGACATGTGACGTAGGGATATGACACAACATAGACACGTGACGTAGGGATATGACACAACATAGACACGTGACGTAGGGATATGACACAACATAAACACGTGACGTAGGGATATGACACAACATAGACACAGCAGCATCACAGACCACGTGATGTATGGATATGGCACACGGTCAAACAGATTTGAAAAAGCGAGTGATATGTGTGTTAGCTTAAGAAAAACAGAACTCTGTTCTCATAGGAAAAACTCTTCTCAAACACATAGGCCTACGTCCCTCATCATCAGTAAGGCCACAGTAAGGGGTGTATTAAACTTGTATGGAGATCTTAGCTAAGATTTATACAGTGTAGTCCTAATGCCAATCTTAAAACTATTCCAGTAAACCGAACATCTGACATCATTATATGGATCATGGATAAGAACCCAACCTATCCTAAGCCATCTCCACTTCTCTACCCACCGTTGATGTGAATATAAAAATATCGATATGCAAATGAAAATAATAAAAATGACCTTAAAACCTACTCTACCCCAAGCCCTCTTCACACGTACACTACAGACTGCAGGCATATATAGTTAGAACAGCCGATCTATGTGTAGTTAAAGATATGGCTTTACAGCGAGGTGTCAAGCAGCATACTTCTGTTTGTATGTGCACGATCAGACCAAACGTGACACCTAATTAGTTAACCACTATTGCTAGAACAAATAATCAACTAATTAACTTCCACCAAAGAGGTAAAGTAAGTATAGTTAAGGTAATGAGTCAGCCATTTTTACACACTACTAAGTTGCACCAAAATTTAAAAATAATTGTAACTAAAATTTCAACATATATCTGTAATTAAATTTGGATAAAACAATAAAAGTTAAAATGTAGGACACACTTTTTAAAGATAAAGGTATACAATTTTGATGTGTGATTTGTTTAGGTAAAGGTTACGTATCAAAATAAATGTTGGAATTTTTTTAGAAGAAAATCAATTTAAAGTCATTAATACCTTTCAAGAATGAAGTTAAACATTTTTTAAAAAGGCATTATCACAGGAAAGGGATTTCACTCAGTAATTAAAATTCCGTATGGATTTTTAGGTAAGGGGAAGAACTGCGTTAATATGCAATAGTGTGTAGTCGACTAGCTAGAGAGTTATTTCCCATTATTCTAAATTATTACTCTTCTTTCTATTCCATTGAATGGCAGAATACTGCAAAGGCATTTTTAAAAATAAAATTTCATAAAATTTTATTTAAAACAACCAAGTACTGTAATAAATAAAGTTAAGTTCCTGTTTCAGACCACATAATTCAGAGAGAAATTGAGGTAGTGAGTTCATGTTTCTTGACCTCAGTATTTGAAGGTGTGTGACTATGGGACATATAATTAATTGGTTGTGTGGACTAAGGGACATCTAATAAAATTGGTTGTGTGTACCATGATGGTGTCGTCAGCACAAGATCCGGACAAAAGACTGACAAGACAAAGGTCAGCACTTTGCCCAGCAGCCTTAACTTTCCCTAACTTGAGTCAGGTACTGGGTGGACTCAGGGACACCCTACAGACTTAAGTCCAGATCCAGACTTTTGGGTTTGCAGTAGAGAGCTCTACTGCATCATCCCCTGTAATAAGCCTTCTCAAATGTATGAATTGTCAGCTGTATTAAGTGTATTACCAAAGCATACTTTGTCATCTAATGCACATGTCATATATTGCCAAAGTAAAAAAATTGACTGTATAAGTATACATTTCCTTGAATAAAAGAGACAAGCACTATGCAGAAGGTGTTCAACTCATGAACACAGAACTCACAAAAATAATCGCCTCCCACATCTTGTGTGGAATCCAAACAAAATCATTAAAAAAGAATATAAACATAAATAAATAATAACTTTTATTTAATCCTAAAAAAAAAATTCATGCAAAAGAAAAAGGCAAACTTTGGTAAGTCAACAATAAAATTATGGCAACATTACATCTGTGGTCAAGATATGCTATGTATTTATTTTAATGCATATGCAGACTATGAACATGTTTTGAAGGTATCTATGGTACAAATATTTTCCAGCAAAATTTCATCATAAATATTTAAACATATGCTTTAAACTGCAATAAAAAGCTGTAATTTTGAAGTGACATTTTCCCCAGAAAATCACAAAATCTTACTTAGGCATAAAAAAAGCATTGAGCAAAGTTAAATAGATAGAATCAGATAAAATATATTAAATTAAAATACAATACTGGTGTATTTGCAAACATGATAAAAAGGCAGCTGTCATAATGTTTTAAAACATATAGAGATCACAATGTTTATAAAAAGGGAACAGACAAGAAAAGAAATATTTTTTAAAAATGCAGACATGATTTGCAAGTGGATAATCATGTTAGGCACAGTGGTGACAGTAATATAATTACTGTATTCAATAGATTTTACTAAAACCAAATCTTATAGAATTTAAAACAGCTGAAACAATTTAGATGATATAAAAATCAACCAAAAGAGAAAAAATAAATTATTTCATAAGTAAACTTAAAATGCTATTATTAGTTTCCTACAAGTATTAATAACATATTTAAAAAAAAAAGCCTTTTGTGGGTAAAACAGTATCCCAAAAAACCCAACTGAAATAAGTAAATAGAGATTATCTGATTGGGTAAAATATTCACTTCTCACATGAAAAGAAGCTTACATTGAGTTTATTTGTGCACAAACTTTCAAGTAAATAAAAATAAAATGGTTACAGATTCTCAAACTATTATTTTTTTAATGTATAAAAAACATCAGTTGTCTTCTATACATAACCAGTATAAGAATTATTTTAAAAATAGAGGTATCAGTAATGGAAGCTTCTTTATTAAATACAAGTACTGATGTGGCATTGACAGACTGGATTGGGCATCTAGGTTATCCATCTGTATGCAAAATATATGATTGCAATGCTGGAAATATTAGAATATTAGAATATTAATTATTAGAATAAATATTAGAAAATGTTTTTAAAAATTTTGTTTTTAAAGTTATAAATAAAATATTGAATTATTATTAAGTTATGAAGAGTGAGAATAAATTGCCTTTTGAAAAAATAAAATTGTTAAGTTAATTGTTAATTTTATTTTCTTACTAAAACTAGTTTTTTAAAATATTTTTTTGAACATAATTAAAATCTAATTATTTTTTAGAAGAAGCAGGTAGTTAACAAATCAAAGAATTTACAATGAAATAGAAATTACCAGAATAAAAAATTAAAGAGTCCTTCCCACAGGGTTGGTACGCAGTCTGGAAAGTTAGGAAAAAGTCTTTAATTTAGAAAAGTGAATTTCAGACTTTAAAATTAAAAAGTCTGGAAAATCACTAGTTTTTGGGCTGGATTTTTTAAAAGTCTGGAATCTAGTTTTAGAAACAAAACTTCGAAGTCCATATTTTCCAACTAAAAAAAAGTGAATTCACTCCAATTTTTTCCCCGCGTTTTCGCGCGGGTTTACACTATGTTGTGGTGTTTTTAGCTAGTTCGCAGAAAAAATAAATGGATTATCAGTTACTACTACATTGGGAGAGAAGGGGAGGGCAGAGATATTTTGTGGCGCGACTGACCGTGTGAATGTGTTACGAGTATTTAAAATTGTCATTTAATTGTAGGGCTGTCAATTTTACCAGCTATTTCTCATTGTTTAAGTTTGGATGCAGTCAGTCATAAAAAAAAATTATGGGGGAGGTGTGTGAGTGGTTGTTTGGATATAATTTATTTGTCTATAAGGGGTCATCCATTTATAACGTCCAATTTTT